GGGAGAGAGAGAAAGAGAGAGTTTGAGCAATAACTTCGTGCTCATGCACGCCACAGCTCGAATACACTATCTATGACTTCATTTCCGAATAGCGCCAAACTTGTTCTCCAACGAATTAGCATTCACATGTATGTCGAAACGAAATATTTCGCATCTGCTTATGTTAATTATTAAGTAGTTTTAAATTTGAGCTGCACGGTATAAGAGTTTTCCAGATATGTGTATTGCTTTATAAAATTCTTATTTTTGAATTTTTTTGAAACTTTTTTTTTTTTTTTACATATTTGGCATATAATTTTCATTTTTTTGTCAGCATATCTAATATTTAAATTTCCCTCTTTTGGTGTTTATATTATCAATTTTTATTGCTTCCGCATAATAATTAAATTTCAGTTGTGTCACGAAATATATTTTTTGACACGTACAGACTATTTACTATTTGCAATTTCTAGGGTATACAATAAAAGAAACTAGTAAACAAAATTATAAAATGCAATTCATTTTGTTTGGCTGATACCGATTAAAGACCCATACAGACTTATTGAAGGCCATAAAGCCATACATGCATACATAGGCAATGAAAAGTGAAAGCAAAGAATAATTAATCAAGTGGATACGAAAATGTGTAGCCTGACTACATTTTCGGGACGCCACTGTAGCGCCAGGCTACACACATATACATACACACGCACACCAGCTCACGGGCTTTTACAGACACTCAAGGACGGACTCATTCAAAAAATTAGTTGGTAGTGTAAAGTGGAATAACCGACTACAAAAGAAAAACTAACTAACGCTCAGACTTGTGGGTGTTGTGCATGCGTGAGTGTGTGTCTACAAATATGACGAGGCACTCTTAAAATGATTTGTGTAGCGCAATAAAAAACAGACAACAACAAAATGAAGACGCAATTCAGTAAACTGACATGGTCAACAATATTAGCTAAAAACAAATATAAGAAATCAACGGTAAAAAATAACGAAATAAGAGGCACTACTCAATGTAGAGCGAGAGAGAGAGAGCTCTACTTTTACTTGCAATTGTTGATTTACCTTTCAGTCCAGAGACAAGTACACGCCATGGATATTTGTGACTGTAGGAGGCTAGATTGCCGCGTATGATAATGTACGGCATTTGGTATAAGTTTTTACTGTTGATTTTTTCCTTCTTTGTTTTTAGCTATTAATTAGCGCGGGCGGGGTTGTTACGAAGTAAACCGGTTCAAACTCGAATAAACCCAAATAGTTGTCGCTGCACGACAAAAGCTAACTGCTGTGCTGACTGAAGGCTGGCTAACGACTGAATTTTGTTTGCGAGCTTTCAGGTTTTCCCTTGTTGAAGTAGTTTTTGTTGTTTGTTTGTTTGCTTTTGTTTGTTATTAATGGGCCTGCCGTTGTGTCGCTCTCGCGTGCGCACTCTGTCTCTCTATCTGTAACGGTTAACAACTATATTGGATTAACACACATGTGTGCAAGCAGCGAGCAGCCAATAGATAATCCCTTACTCTCCACTAGAGTTGGGCGCATTTCGTGTTTTCTTTATACACACGTGAACTCACAACTCAACTATCGTATTAACACGAAAATATTTAATAGTTTTGAAAAAATGTATCTGCGTAGACGTTAGCAGATTTTCCCTTTTATAAAACAAATGAGCTTAACATGTAAAATTTGTTAATAATTTTTGCAGTCTGAGGCATTATTGACTTTGCGCATTTACAAATTGTTTCGTGTTAGAAAAATCTGACACGCGCCCATCTTTACTCTCCACAACTAAAAGCGCGCTCTTGGCCAGGACATGAGACACACACACACACACACACACACACACAATATCACAATCAGACGCTGACCAGTTGCATGTTTGTAAGGCTATTCACAGCTCTATAGGCTATAATTACGTTGCTAAAGTTAATATATGTATTTGTGAATACTCGTTAGTCAACCAAAAATAGAGCCGGTCAACAACTCCTACGCAAGGCCTGTTTCTAATTGCACCATAAACCGTCCACCCTCCCATACTGTTGCACTTGTATCGTTGTGCGTGTTTTGCGCACACACAAAAATATTAATAAAAAAATGCGCGAGTCATAAACATAGCTGTTGGGGGGCGCTTAAACGCAACAAATGATGTCATTTGAATTTATTTAATCATACTTTAGTCCCGTTTCTCGTTTGTTTCAGGTGCCCGTTTTGATTTTTTTTTTTTGGTTTATTGTCGACCCATTTTAATCTAACTCACCCTTTATAAATGCACCAGTTTTGTGTGTTAGGTTTCCTAAGCTGTCTGTGTGACAGTCTTAGAGTTAAATATTAAATTAATTTTATGTTTAATTTATGTTTAGTTTAGCAATCCGGTCAAAGTTGGCGAACAATTTTATTTGCAATAACAATAGCTAGTGATGTGCGGCTGTATCGATATGTTGCAAGCAATAGGGGCCATCACCAATGCCAGCTGCAGTGGTATATCGATAACAGCATTACCCTTTCGATAACACTGTGAGGATGCTGCGATTTTTGTTTAACCAGCTTGCTTAAAGTAAATATTTTTTAAAATGCTTGTAAATACTACAATTTAAAGTTTTATTATATAAAAAGTGCATGCGCAATTTATTGCAAGCAGCTAGACTGCATAGCGACAATACGCAGAGCATTACCATACAAATTTGTGTGCACAACCCAAACAGCTGGTAAGCAAAACATAAAATTGTTTTGTAAATGTATTGTATATGCATATATATTCATTTATATGTGCATACGTATATATATTTCAGGTTACGCAAATTGACTGGGTTCATACGAGTTCATAGAATTGGTTTTTGGCTATTACGTGTGCGTCGGTCGTCTTTGTCGCCAGCGGCTAGGAACTCAAGTGCCCTCCACTACAAGAGGCTGTGTGTGTGTGTGTGCGTGTGTGTAACGCTCAGCATCCCAGAGCAAAAGGCCAGCAAATAAATTCTCAGCTCGGCCTTAGTGTACGTCAGACGAGCAAACAGCGAGCATCGTACGGGCCAACGATCCGACAAATTTCAAGTGCCATATAAACAAATCCGCGTGTGTCGTCATTAAGCAACGAAATGCCCAGAAATATGCCGCTTTGGCCAATGCTGATGTGCGCCATTGGTGTTCTGGCAATTGTTGGACCCATGCCCGCCAACGGTGCCGTGGCCAACAGCCACAAGCATGAGAAGCATCTGAGCAAGGAGCGTGTCAAAGATGGCGTCTATATACCCAGGGATGCACATCATCATGGCGAGCTGGGCGAGCACAATGTGGAGTTCGATCATGAGGCCATTATAGGTGGGTGTAATGGGCTAATCCAGTCCAGGCACATAGCTGACTAACGTCTTGTTTTTAGCATCTCACAACCGCATTTAAATTGTTTATTTGTTAAATATGTTTATACCCTGTGGCCATTAAAACTACGTGGGAACGGGTATCATGTTTTAGGCAAGTGTGAGGCAGAAGAAGCCGCAGAAAATATATATATATTCATAGTTATCAATCAATAACTGCAACTCAGTAAAAGCTGAAGTTATTTATGAAGTTTGTAAAGAAAGGATATAAGAAACTTTCTTGAACAATCAACTGGTTAAAGGGTATCTCCTTGTTGTGCACCATTTACTTGAACAAACGTTGTAGTTTATAAATTAATGGGATTTCTTCACTGTTCATAAAAATCTTAAATCGTTGCTCATTATTTCCATTTAATATTTGGGCTTGTGTTTTGTCTATTGTGCGCACACGTGCAGATGTTCTGTATTTATTTTCTTTATGTGCCTCGCTCTCTGCGCTCTCTGTTTCTTATGCATATTTAATGTTTATCCCATTGTACAGGCAACACAAAAGAGGCGCAGGAATTTGACACGTTGACACCGGAAGAGTCCAAACGCCGACTGGCCATACTTATCAAGATGATGGATCTGAATAGTGATGAATTTATCGATCGGCACGAGTTGAAAGCATGGATTTTAAGGTCTTTTAAGTGAGTGTTGTTTGTTGATTAACCCAAGCTAACCAAAACAGAGTATGGCTGCCCTCTAGAAGGGCAACCCCGAAAGAAACTAATGCCTTTGCTAAGCCTGCCCGCCGCATGTGTCTGTGAACCGGATAATCAATTGAAAGCCTTGCTAAATATCGTTTACATTTTACAGAAAACTGTCGGAGGAGGAAGCAGCGGATCGTTTTGAGGAAATCGATCAGGATTTGGACGATCGAATCACTTGGACTGAGTATTTGCAGGACACCTATGCCATGGATGATGAGAACTTTAAGAAAGACGTCATCGATTTTGATACCTACGAGGATGAGCAGAAAATGATAAAACAGGACAAGGAAATGTTTCATGCGGCCGATACCGACAAAGATGACATGCTCAGTCTGGAGGAATATGTGTACTTTCAAAATCCCGAGGAGCATCCACAAATGTTGCCCGTGCTGCTGGAGCACACGATGCAGGATAAGGATCTAAATCATGATGGCAAAATCGATTTCCAAGAGTTTGTAGGCGCGGCGGCCGCACATCACGACAAGGAGTGGCTGATAACAGAAAAGGAACGCTTCGACAAAGACTACGATGCCAACGGGGATGGTGTGCTCTCGGGCAATGAGGTGCCGCTTGCAATTGATATATATATATATATAGTCAAGGTCCTTAATTGTTTTCTTTTTTATTGTTGTTTTCAGGTACTTTCCTGGATTGTGCCCAGCAATTCAGTCATAGCGGACGATGAGGTGGATCATTTGTTTGTGTCCACCGATGAGGATCACGACGATCGTTTGTCGTACCTGGAGATCCTCAATAACTACGACACATTCGTGGGCAGCGAGGCGACCGACTATGGCGATCATTTGCAAAATATACATCGCTTGTCCGATGAGCTGTAAACCATATCACGAATTTGCTAGAAGAATCTGTGCTTAGTATTGTATTTTATTCATTTAGTTAGTAAATTAATGTTTTATTTATGCAAATTCATGTGACATACCGTATATGCATATCTGTGCATATTATATAATAGATTATTTTTATTGTTGTATGCCTTTGTCTACAGATTTGATTATACTTAACACATGCCCCATTTATAAATCGTAGTAATTTATATAGACACCAAAAAAACTAAGAAGCTACAATATTAATACATAAATAATTTTTACTAAATTATTTGTCTGATTGCTTTAGGCTTGCTTTTATAAGTACTTAAGTTCTTATGTGCTATAAAGTGTTCTTGCAGTTTTGAAACAATTTCATACTTACGATCTATGCACAATATATAGATATATATATATGTATATAGTTAAGAGAGAAAGAGATCGTAGGGTATGCTAAATTTTGCACATTTGGACTAGAATCGGAGAGAAACTGTTTACAACTGGAATGCTACTTGATTTGTTTAAATTAATTAATTATTAACATTTGCTTAATATTATTAGCTGCCTAATGTGCTGCCAAATTTTTACAGACTTTTTGGGCTCGACAAAAGTGAAGCAGCTTTGACTAGATTTTACACTCGTACCAAAAAATAAATGTATAATTCTATATTGCTTAGCTTTAGTTATCAGAAATTATTATTATTATATAATTTTTTTTTTTTTTTTTTGCTATACAGGCGCCATTTGTGGGTGCCATTGGAATTACCGCCGCTGTCTTATATCACAAATATTGCACCTAATTGGCCTATTACCGGAAACATTTTTGCTACAATTTCAACAGAAAGCGTTAGAGAGAAAAATCACAAACAAAAACAAATAGAGTTTTTATGCTCTTATTTTTTTTTACATAATAATAATTGTGAACAAAAAACTTTTCGTAACATGAAAAATGCTTGAAATTCATACTTGAGATTTACAGAACTCGGTTCATCATATTTTCAAAGAGTGCACACCCCCAAATTATGGCACAATAGAGAGTTTCACGGGCCACGCTTCGGGACTTACACTTCTAAATCATAATTAATCATGCACATCTCCTGCTCATTTACCTATAATATACATACATATTGGTTATCATAGATATCTATATGCTACACACATTCACATATGCCCTATATGCTATAGCCAAAGTGGAACTCTAGAAGCCACACAATATATCATAGTTGTCTACCTGACGCAGTGGCTCCATATCATCGATCACCTCCCCCAGATATTCGCTTATGGAGAGCGGCAATTTAAGCTTTTCCACATTGCCAGCCGTTCGTAATCTTCGCATTATCACCGCCCGACACCGATCCTGAAGATTAACGAATTCCCGTCTGGCACACTTGAGCGTCATCTCGGTCTTGGCAGCCGTGGAGCATACGATAGGGTATAGCGGTTCGTTCACCTGAGGAAACGATATAGATGGATAGATATCTTGTGAGAGGGGAAAGTATCTCCAACTAACTAGTGACTGCAGGATATGGTATATATATAATATTAATCAGATCGATGAGATAAGTCGAGCTAGCTATAACCCTTAGCAATATCTTAGGCTAATCCCAAGATCGATATTTATTTTTTTAGAAAATCAAGCGATTATCTGTTAATCGATATAAATCGATATCGATAAGGAAATCGTAAATCGATATTGGGAAAATGCTGAAGAGTTATCGGGAAGCCCTCTGGGATTCCCCGTTCCCTTCAATTTCAATTTCAATTTGACCTTCTCCCTTTAACAGGCTCCTGTGACTTACCTTATCCAAGCCTCTAAAGGCCACGCCCAGGCATTTGCCGTCCTTGTAGTAGGTCAAGGTGCCTTCAATGCCATCGTAGAGCACGCCAATTTGCGTTGGATGATTCTCGCGGAATCCCTTAGTGTATACAAGAGCCACGCCTTTGTGCCAAAGAATGCCTGGAAGATATATAGAAAAATTAATATATATATTTTTTTTATATTTTAGATTGATTCATTTGATGACTTACCCTTGTGGGAGAGGCCCCAGCCGTGCTCGTTCTCGCCGAGCATGTTGCGGAAGGCGTTCGCGTGCAGGCGACAGGATCTGGTGCCGATGCCAAACATAATGGAGGTGCCAAAGACCCGCTGGGACACGTGCAGCTCCCAGTAATAGCGGCCGTTGTTGAGGGCGCGCTTGCCCTGAATGCCAGCGGTGCCTTTGCTCCAGTTGGGATGAAAGTGGACGGTGCGCGAATTGAGACCACTGAGCACCACCTCCTTGGAGCGATAGCGCTTGCTCCACGTCCAGTCGTCCTCGACGCCGTGCCGCAACGGGCACGACGACAGCTGATCCGCCAGCGCCTGCTGCGAGCGTTTCTCCTGGACGCCCGTATAGCCGCCATCGCAGCGCGAGTGCGCCTGGCGTCGTCGTCGCGTCGGCGGCGGCGGCGTCTGCGCCAGCATCTGTTGGGGCTGCTGTTGCTCCAATTCCACGTCGGACATTGCACTAACGATTCTTAAATGATGCTTCAGCTAGTGCGTCAATATGACAATGTAAAACATTCACAGCAAATTTGTACAAAAGACTTTCTAAAGCCTACTTGATTCTAGAGCCCACTCAAGTGCTGGCCGGGCTGCTCTTCAAATGGATTGCCCACCACCTGTTCCGACACTCGCTCCTCGAGATGGTTGGTGCTGAGCTGCTCAGCCTCCACCTGATAGCTCCTGCTGTCCCCTTCAACTACTCCGGATAGCTGCTGCTGCTGTTATTCGTCTCCTCCTCCTCCTCCTCCTCCTCCTCCTCCTCCTGTGCGGGGTCGACTGTGCTATCAAAAGGTGCTGTTGTGCCTCCTCCTGCTCCTCCAGATAGCTACTATACGTCAGCTCCTTCTCTTACTACTGCTCTTTCTAATAGCTGCTACAGATCTGCTCCTGCTACTGCTCTAGAGATGGCTGGTTATCAAAAGTTGTTCCACCTGCACTTCCTGCTGCACGTCCTCCTGCAGCTCCTGCAGATAGCTGCTGCACGTTTCTTCCCGCTGCTGCTGCTGCTGCTCTTCCAGATAGCTGGACGTCTCCTCCAGCCCCTCTACCAGATAGCTGGACGTCTCCTCCAGCTCCTCCTGTAAAGTTGCCTGAGAGCCGTAGCCGCTGCTCAGCGAGCTCGTGCTGCGACTGTATGGTAGATAATTGATGATGCGATGGCTGCTTCTTGGCTCGAGACTGCGCTTCAGCTCACGCCTGATCCTGCGCAGTTGCTTGAAGTCCTGGTCGCCGCCGCTGCCAGTGCCGCCGGCGCCGCCGCCGTTGCGCCGCTGCGTATGCAGCTGCAGATGGAAATGATGCCGACAATAGCCCTGCGGACTGTGCGCACAGAAGCGGCACGCTTCCAGATTGAGCCCCGCGCCCAGCGGCAGAATGGGCTCCAGTATGCGACGCTTGTGGCGCCGTCGGCTCTGCTCCAGCTGCAGGTGCTCCAGGTGCTGCAGCGCCTTACGATCGCCCACCGTTTCGGCGGACTCCTGCAGCAAGCGGGCGTTCCGCGGAAAGCATCTGTCGTGGACGTGCAGCACCAGGCGTTGGCAGTAGAGGCACAGCGATTGGAACAGCAGCAACAACACGATAATCATATAGAACAAATGGGGGTTGCTGTGTGGCTGTGTGTCTGTGTGTGTGTGCTCCTTGTGTGTGCGTGGGTGTGTGGGGGTTGCTCGGGCAGCTCAAGTGGCCGCTTGGTGAGTTGCTTCCGACTCCACTTTTACTCCAGGCGCAGCTGCTTGGCTGCACTTGTTTGCATTTTGCACTTTTAATTTTTCCCTTTTTTTCTTGGACTTGTTGTAATTCCCAACCGCTTCTGACAGCGCACTTTGCACTCCGGACTCCGCACTCGCCAATGTCTCGCGCTGTTCTGCTCGATTTTCCAATTTGAATTCGAAATATATCTACCCCTATTTGACGCACAGCTGGAAAGGTTTTTGTTGTTTTTTTTTTTTCCACCACCAATTGGAATTTGTGTGTGTGCTTGTGCTGGCATATCATTATCATATGGTTACGTGTGCCACCCTCTGTTATCGCCAACCCCCTCCGCCCCTACCCCCACACAGACCCCAACCCTCGGCGACATGCGCACAAGTGCCCGACGTCCAATCACCAAGTGGTGAGTTTTAGTCGAGCATCAGAACTTTAGTTCGGCGCTCTCGTCTTCTAAGCGCGCTCCTGTCTTCTGGCCAGGAAACCAACCCCTCGCCGCCCAACACCTCTGTCAGCGGAACCATCCCCCATCTGATTAACTTTGAATATATAAAAAAAGAAGAAAATTATTATTATATATATCAGGGAAAGCAACTGCTATACCTGTTTTATCTATTGTATTTTTATAAAACTGCCCTGATTGACTGACTGACTGACTAAAGGATTGACTGAGTGATTGATTGAGGATCAAGTGTGCTTGTAACATATGTAGACATGCAAGCATGCATGTGCGTTTTTTATAGCATATGAGGAACATGTTTACTTTCCCATAATTAGCATGTATTTTTAATATTGCCTTTCTATGCGATTCTCATAAATTTCAAGTAAGTCTGTTGTATTAACAGATTGTGGTCACCATTTACTTTCTCTTTGTTAGATTTTCTGATTATACGAATGCATTATATGCTTATGCATGTAGGTATGCATTACATGTATGTGTGTACACACATGTATGTAAGCATATATGTATGTAAATATATTTGTATTTTTTTGTTTTTTTTTTTTTGTTTGTTTATTGGTTGTTTATATTTGTATGTACGTGTGTACACATATATTTGTGCATGTATATACTTACATATATAGGTATGTAAATATGTATGTCTGTATGTACATATGTATGTATTTATTAACATGTGTATGTACATATGTATGTATGTTTTAACATAAGTATGTATGCAAGTATATACGTACGTAGGTAAGTATGTACATATGTATGTATGTATGTACAAATACATATATGCATGGTTGTATGTATGTATATATGTGTGTAAAAACGTGTATACATTTATATGCAGACATCCACACCATATATTTATCCACATATATTTATTGTATTTGCATGTATGTAGGTATTCGAACATGTGTTGCCACCGAGGAAGCTTGGATGGTATAAGAAGAAGAGTATAGATCCATGGAATAGTTTAATAAGTATATAGAGATTGATCTATGCATGCTTGAATGTATGTACATACATATATTGGAAATTGCCCTTCTACTCGATTCTCAAAAATTCCAGTAGGACCCAAAGATTTTTCTGCTTCCACTCTAAACGTTATAGAACCGATTTTCCTTAAGCAAAGTTGGTGGTAAAGATTTAGAGTCCCTAACGTAATGCTCGGAAGTTAATAGGGTTCTGTTGCTCCAATTTACGAATTTTACAAAACATGTTTCTTTATTTTTACCATTTTTATTTTAGTTTCATAAACAGTTTCCAGTGTTTCGTTTAGTTTGATAGCACAATGTTTTATATTATTTGCTTGGTTTTTGTTTCGGATCATGCATTTCCTTCACATTTCACATGGCAGAAAAATGGAGCATGCAGCTTCGCGGGATGATGAATGGAATCGTCTGGCAGGTAATTATTATAGATTCGATGCTGTTTTTTTTTTACATATTACCAGGCTAGTTTATTTGTTGTTGATTTACTTAACTTACTCGTAACTAAGAAGCAGTTTACATTGGTTTAGAACATTTTGGCAAAACGTGTAAAAAAATGGCAGATACAAAAAAAATGGCAACGAGTTCCGAGCGGTCCAACGTCTTCTCTTCTTGTAGTTTTTCTTTTTGGTTAGTTTAAGGAATTTGGTAGCAGTGTTCGGTTCTAGTGTGTGTGTGCGTGTGTGTGTTTGTGTGTGTGTGAGTGTGTTTTTGTTTGTTTGTTTGTTTGTTCGTTGGTATAGTTAAGGCATTACATTTAGATTAAAATTATTGCGTGTGGTCCGCTTATGACGAGTTCTTCACACAGACTTGACACCTGGATACGCGGGAGAGCAGGTTGCCCGCCTTGATGGTCTGCTGTTCGGGCCGCTGGAACTGATCGCCATCCTCCAGCGTGACCATCCAGAAGCTAGTCATCGTCTCATAGAAATGGCAGTGTCCCTTCGCGCCGTTGCACTCAATGAACGGTGTGGCCCGGAAGTCCTCCAAGCAGGAGCCAGGCGATTGCAGCGCCTGACCACCGCCGCCATTGCCAACGGCCGTGTGCTAGAATATTATATATATATATATATAGAGTGAGCTTTAATTGTGCAGATTTCGGACTTACCATGAGGAAACTGTAGCCGATCCATAGGCCCTCCCAGCCGTTGGGGCAGTTGGGTATCGCCAGCGACTGGCTGTGCACGGCGATCACATTGGCTGGCGCCTCGCAGACGACGCAGCGGGAAATGTATTTGCTGATCTCGTTGTTGTTGACCGGCATCATCGGTATTGGGGCCGATGTGGATAGCCAGAAGCTCTTGTCGTTGCGCGAGGCATAGTTGCATACGTTGTTCTGTCCGCAGGACATCACTGGCAGTGTTGAGAAGCGCGGCACACAGGAGCCGGGTGAGCCCAGATCCTGATTGTGTGCATAGTCATTGCCATCGACATAGAGCAGCGAGTAGCCGGTCCACAGTTCGACATGGCCTGGTGCGCATTGTGGCACCTGATCGTTTTGGCTGTGGCGCGTCAGCAGGATGCCAGTTAGATAGTCCTGGGCACCGCTACAGGGCAGACCGGGCTCGCCCTTGTAGCCAATGGGACCGACAGCGCCCTCCAGGCCAATTAGACCTTGCTCGCCGCGCTCACCCTTGAGGCCAGGACGGCCGGGCGGGCCAGTTAGACCGATTAAGCCACGTTCGCCCTTTTCGCCGCGCTCTCCTTGGATGCCAATCAGACCGCGTTCACCCTGTGGTCCAGGCTCACCCTTTTGTCCATCGCGACCAGGATGTCCGGGCTCGCCCTTGGGGCCAGGCGGTGGCACCAGGCCAGGCTCACCCTTTTGACCACGCAGACCGGGCAAACCGTCACGACCATCACGGCCCTTGGGTCCGGTGAAACCTTTCTCGCCAGGTGCGCCAACTGGACCAGGATGACCATCCATGCCAGGTGCGCCGATGTCTCCCTTAAGACCTGGTAGGCCGCTCAAGCCAGGTGGACCGGCAATGCCCTGATCTCCCTTTTCACCCTTCTGTCCCTCGAAGCCAGGCACACCGCGATCACCCTTAGGTCCAGGATAACCAGATTCACCCTTAATTCCAGCTGCACCATTCAAACCAGCGCTGCCATCAATACCAGGTGCACCAGTCAAACCACGTTCTCCCTTGGGACCCATGGGACCAATTGGTCCGGGCAAGCCAACTAGACCAGCGTTTCCTGGCAAGCCAGCCAAACCACGCTCACCCTTCATGCCAGGTAATCCAGGAGCACCTGTAGTTACGTGGGGTTTAAAGTGCATCAATGATAAATCAAATTCACGATATTCAGCCTTTACATACCTTCACGTCCGTTTTTGCCAGCACGTCCTGGTAGACCCTTTTCTCCCTTAACAACAGGGCCTGGATAGCCGGGCTCACCATGCAATCCCATATCTCCCTTGGGTCCAGGAGTTCCAGGCAGGCCAGGAATACCAGCTGGTCCATTTAGTCCACGATCTCCTTTCTCGCCGGGGTAGCCAATGGGACCTTGGTCGCCCTTGTTGCCTTTAAGTCCTTGCAATCCAGGTAAGCCATGTTTACCAGGCAGACCCTTTTCTCCTCTTAGTGCAAGCATGTCAACTTGAGCAGCAGGGCCCCTGAGACCCTTTTCGCCTTTGTCTCCCTTCAAACCAGTAGCACCTTGGTATCCTTGCCTGCCGGCAAGACCCATTGCTCCCTTCAAGCCGTTTGCGCCAGCTGGGCCACGGTCTCCCTTGATGCCCTTGGGGCCAGGATAACCGATCGGTCCAGGATTTCCTTGTGGTCCAGGCAGACCATCAAGACCAGGAGTACCTGGATTACCAGGCTGTCCGGAATTGCCCTTGTCTCCCTTTGGTCCTGGAGCACCGGGGAAGCCAGGCTCACCCTTCTCACCAGGCATACCATCTTGTCCATATATTCCGTCACGTCCAGTGTCACCCTTTTCACCTTGTGGGCCTGGTCGACCGTGGACGGCAATGCCAGGCAAACCTTTCTCGCCAGGTTGACCTGGAGCTCCGGGTAGACCATCTTGACCACGTAGTCCTGAGACACCGGGTTCACCCTTTTGTCCCTTTTCGGAAGCATCTCCAGGCTCGCCCTGAGGTCCATCGAAACCAGGCAAACCTTGGTTACCCTTCTCTCCAGCCAGACCATGTAATCCATCTTGTCCAGGTAGACCCCGTGGTCCAATATCACCCTTAACACCCATTATGCCGGGTGGTCCAGTAGGACCTCTGGCACCGGGAAGGCCATCGTTTCCTGTTAATCCACGGGCTCCCTTGTCACCCTTCATTCCTATATGTGGGAGACATAGCATTAGCGCTGACACTTGTCAATCCCGTTAAAGCACTTACCCGGAATTCCAGCAGCTCCGAGTGGACCGCGTTTGCCTGGAGCACCAACCGGACCAGTGAAGCCCTTGGGACCATCATTACCGGGTGCACCGCGCTCACCCTTGTTGCCAGGCATACCAACGAGACCAGGACTGCCAACTTCACCCTTGGCGCCATCACGGCCTTGAACGCCATCAATGCCGGGAGTACCCGGTGGGCCGGGACGACCCTCGGGACCAACAGGGCCGGGTTCACCTTTTTCGCCGACAGAACCTGTGGAACCAGGCTGTCCTGGAAAACCAGAATCACCCTTGTCACCAGGATAACCAGGATTGCCGTCAGGTCCAATCATGCCCAAAGCTCCAACCGGACCACGGTCTCCCTTCTCGCCAGTCAAACCATCGCGACCTGGA